ATAGATAGATAGATAGATAGATAGATATAGACAGACAGACAGACAGACAGACAGACAGACAGACAGAGACAGACAGAGACAGAAAGTCACCTAAGTGGAACCACAGTTAACATGTACAAAGAAAGGATAGAGTAATACTTAGCAAATCCAGATCTCATAGAGATGCTGAAGGCATATCCACATGGTTGAACAACCGACACATGCAGATACACACAAGACAGGGTTTTCATTCTGCTCTGGGCTATCAAAGCATAAAAACGACTAATGACCACCATAAAAATTATATAAAACAGCTCTTTGTGTGTGTAACAGGTCGAAAAATAAGTCTTTATTCACTAAAAAAATTGTTCCTTCTCAGAAACTCTCCAATCGCATTTGCACTTATTCATATTCCATAAATTAGCATATTACATTCAGTGATAAGACATACAACACAGCAATAGCATTTTCATGTTTTGACACTGATAGGTTGATTATAAGGATGACATTTAGGAGCAATGAAAGAGGGCAAGTTTTTTAGTGTATAACTTAAATTCTTAAATTCATTTTTTAAAATGACATCCATCATACAAGACAAAAACAATTACGGACAGATTTGCGCCAGTGCAAACCCTCTTCTGGCATAAAAAAAAAAAAATAAAAACTACTGTCAGGATTTACTAAAGACACACAGTGAAAAATTTGTGAAGAAAATGGCTTTACTGCATATGCATTTGTAAGAGGTTCCCATTCAGACACAAAATTCATGGGAGGACAGTATTTAAATTAACCATGCAAGGTGATTTACTAGGTCTGTGGTAGTCAGTTTACTAGTATTTGCACCATTATTTAACGGCCCAAAGAAGCGTGTCTTAACCAATTTTGCACCTGTGTTGTTAGCACATTTCCCGCACCTGATTATCTTTGGTCCTATATTAAGTTGTGCTGCTTGCATTGTTCATTATGGAAATGAGCTGGCTTCGTCTGTGTTCTTTAATTTACACATTGCCAGCAGATCCTCTGCAGAACTTTCTACTCCCATCGGCACTTTTATGGGATTGTGGTCTCATGCTATTTTGCCCATTTTGCACATTTAGTAAATCTGGCCCTTAAACTCTAGCGAGTCCATTTTCCTATTTTTAAATAGCATATTTAAAAAAAAATCAAATAATAAATTGGACATAATAATAAATAGTATATAGGATATATATATATATATATATATATATACAGTATATATATATATATATATATATATACAGTATATATATATATATATATATATATACAGTATATATATATATATATATATATATACAGTATATATATATATATATATATATATACAGTATATATATATATATATATATATATACAGTATATATATATATATATATATATATACAGTATATATATATATATATATATATATACAGTATATATATATATATATATATATATACAGTATATATATATATATATATATATATACAGTATATATATATATATATATATATATACAGTATATATATATATATATATATATATACAGTATATATATATATATATATATATATACAGTATATATATATATATATATATATATACAGTATATATATATATATATATATATATACAGTATATATATATATATATATATATATACAGTATATATATATATATATATATATATACAGTATATATATATATATATATATATATACAGTATATATATATATATATATATATATACAGTATATATATATATATATATATATATACAGTATATATATATATATATATATATATACAGTATATATATATATATATATATATATACAGTATATATATATATATATATATATATACAGTATATATATATATATATATATATATACAGTATATATATATATATATATATATATACAGTATATATATATATATATATATATATACTGTATATATATATATCCTATTTATTATTACTGTATATCCAATTTATTATTTGATTTTTTTAAATATGCTATTTGCAATATGCTATTTAAAAATAGGAAAATGGACCCGCTAAGAGTCTACAGTATATATACTGTGTATATATATATATATACAGTATATATATTAATATTGAATGAAATGTACGAGCAGAAACAAGTGAAGCGCTCATGTTTTTGTTGTGTACATTGTGTGTCCAACACATTACACATTATCACAAAGACAAGAAACGATCTGTAACCTTTTTCCAGCGTGCAGGTATTCGGGCATCATACATGCAGTCCAGTGCATCCCGCAGGTTCTCACTCATAATGATGGTTCCATCAATGGCCAGCTTCAGGTCACTCAGTGTGTTTCTGACCAGAACAATCACTCTCTGCATGCGATCAATCTCCTGCCGCAGGAAAATGTTCATAGGCTGAAGGGGACCCATGCTCATCAATCTCTCTCTGACCTGGATAAATGATGCAATCTGAATGAATAAAGGATGCCGTTTTGTACAAGTGCACACCTCTTTTGCTAAGACGGCATTGCATTGCATAGCTTTGTTTAAGCTATCTGCATTATTTTAGCATCTGGCTCAGTGAAGGTATTATTTATTATTAATCTGCTGGTGGAGACAATAACAAATATTAGTACTGATGCAATTTGCATGGGTGCAGTTCCCCAGTTTGTGTCCTCTGAGTGCTAGGTTTTTGAGGATGCAGCAGACTACTAAAATCTGGCATACTTTATTATTGTAATAGTTTATGATTCACCACCATGATCTAAGCTCTTTTAAATATCAAAAGTGCTTATTTATACAGTCTGTCTGAAGTTGTAAAACTCATCTCCATAAATTTCATGTTGTTCTGCTGCCATGATCAATAGAAAATGTAAACAAACACTTCAGAATTCAGTTTACTGTCAGGATTTAGAGGTCACTGCAGAGGACACAATGTTTTATTTACATGTAGCAACTCATTCTATTCTCTGTTTGTAATAATATAGTTTAAAATGTTTCAGAAAGCAGGTTATGGTGATTTTTTTTTCCATCACTGAGTTTTAAATATTTTAGGAACTCCCATGATTGAGACAAATCTGCTTCTCGCTTTTGTGAGAGATAATGAAAGCAAAAAGCCCTCGTGCACCCTAAGGCACGTTTTTTCTTGCTGCCTTGTTAATTTGCAGATAATCAAGGGAGTAGCAGTCAATTACTGCCTATATGTTTCATAAGTACCTGCAGTTTGGTTTGAGAACATAATTTGAGCCTCAACAAAGACAAATGCATTAGTGCAGGCAGTCTGTGACCTCAGCACCATCCGTCAACCCTGAGAATGTCCGCTCGGGACTCGAGCTCCAGACCGCAAAGGCTATTTGCTCCCATTGGGCTCTGAGCTCTCCATCAACCATACAAAATTTTGCTGCATCATTGTTGCCCAGTCTGAAGCTTTACCTCAGATGGTACAAAATCTGGGGGCAGTTTCTCCAGCATATCATCTGCTAGCCGACCCACAATCGCCTCCCTGGTCTCTCCGCCTCCACTAGAGCTGTCCTTTGGTTGGATGCTCAGGATATTGTCTAGTACATCCTTGGCGAGTTTGCTTTGGTAGGTGATGTCTGCATTTGGGTGGAGGCCGAACACCTCAGGGGTGTCATATGTGGGGAGACCCTGCAGGAGAGAAACAGATCAACTTATCAACATATCTATCTATCTATCTATCTATCTATCTATCTATCTATATATCTATCTATCTAAAGGCTCTAAAAACATAATAAAAAGTTACATTAATCCCTGTAATTTCTCATTCAATCTACTGTCTGTCTGCTGCAGCAAATTCATGCATCTTTGTCATCACTTTGCAAACCCTTCACACATTTTGAATTCAGTTTTTTTAATAATACTTCCATCCATCCATCTATCTATCTATCTATCTATCTATCTATCTATATATCTATCTATCTAAAGGCTCTAAAAACATAATAAAAAGTTACATTAATCCCTGTAATTTCTCATTCAATCTACTGTCTGTCTGCTGCAGCAAATTCATGCATCTTTGTCATCACTTTGCAAACCCTTCACACATTTTGAATTCAGTTTTTTTAATAATACTAATAAAGCAAATGTGCTAAATGCACGCTAAATACACAATAACCAGAATATGAATATATCATCAGTAAATCCAATTTATTTCAATCACATAAATTAACTAACTGAATCTTCCACAGCAAGCCATTTTTAAACCATGTTCATACTTTTAAATAATATAAAAAAAATATGCAAATAATTAAACTATGCTTTTTTTTAAGTGCATAAAGGTCCATGATTGGGTTAAATATTATAATAATAAAGTTGTAAACTGTGTCTTGCAATCAATTTTCACATGATATCAACAACCATTATGAAAGCTTACTCTCATTAGCTATGAAAGCTAAAGCATCTTGTATCAGTTTTGATAAATGGATGCATGTTTTCCCAAATCTCTCATCTTTTTTGAAGAGCAATCATGATTAAAGTTGTTTATTAGTTGATTAATACATGCATACAGCGTTGTGTACCAGCTATACAAGTCATCGCGCATTATACATTCTTTCATCATAATTTCCATTCAACACAAAGCTTCCTGTAGACAACATGTGATTAGAGAGATGCACAGCTGAATGAAAGCTAGCGTAACAATTTTTTCCCCCTTTTTTTCTTTATTTAAGCAAAATGTCTTGCATGTTTCTCAAGGATCTTTTGTATGTGGTTTCATTCACTAATGGTAATAAGAGTGTTACACACTGAACAATGCTGTGGCATGTATGCCATGAGTGCACAGACTGTCTCCTGGAACTGTATTTGTCATTGAGTCTGAGAGAATCATCCTGCTGTGAGTTGGGGCTAAAAACATCCATCACAATTAGCTCAGACAGAACAAAGATCAGGCATACTCTGCCGGCAGCTGTGCTATTTCTCTCACGAGGACGCCACTGCCTTACATGACTCACTGCTTTTAATGTACAAATGGAATGAGGCCAGTGGGCTGACTGGGCTGAGTCTGGTTATGTTCCTCTTGGCACCTGAATAACTATTATGAGGTAGTGTGTGTGTGTGTGTGTGTATGTATATATATATATATATATATATATATATGTATATTCATTGCTGATGAATCAGCTTTATGCTTTATGCATACAGATTACATTACAGTTGACAAAAGATGGGCCCTTTTTTATACTGGAAGTATAAAGATATATATTTTTGTCAGACTTCTCTTTTGGTCTTCACGTTCTGTTAGCATATACAAACTGTGCCAGATGCGACTTGGGTCATGAATATTAATTACTATATACTCACCCCAGCTCATTTGCTAAAAGGGGGCTGTTGGTATATCTGTACAGTGGTATTACCATTTACCATCTGCACTTGTTAAGCCCATTGCTAACATGACTGTCAGAGACTTCTGAGTGAGGAAAAAAAAGAACTTGCACAAAATTTGAAATGAATACCTTTGTAAATAACACATTTAGATTTACAGTTTATGATTGTAAATGTAAATACAATACAGCTTATACACTTCTATGGCAAGGTACTTTGCATTATGCAAAGCTCTTGCCTAATATACAGTTGGTACGGAAAGTATTCAGACCCCCTTAAATTTTTCACTCTTTGTTATATTGCAGCCATTTGCTAAAATCATTTAAGTTAATTTTTTTTCCTCATTAATGTACACACAGCACCCCATATTGACAGAAAAACACAGAATTGTTGACATTTTTGCAGATTTATTAAAAAAGAAAAACTGAAATATCACATGGTCCTAAGTATTCAGACCCTTTGCTGTGACACTCATATATTTAACTCAGGTGCTGTCCATTTCTGGCTGTCCACCAACGTTTACCATCCAACCTGACAGAACTGGAGAGGATCTGCAAGGAGGAATGGCAGAGGATCCCCAAATCCAGGTGTGAAAAACTTGTTGCATCTTTCCCAAAAAGACTCATGGCTGTATTAGATCAAAAGGGTGCTTCTACTAAATACTGAGCAAAGGGTCTGAATACTTAGGACCATGTGATATTTCAGTTTTTCTTTTTTAATAAATCTGCAAAAATGTCAACGATTCTGTGTTTTTCTGTCAATATGGGGTGCTGTGTGTACATTAATGAGGAAAAAAAATTAACTTAAATGATTTTAGCAAATGGCTGCAATATAACAAAGAGTGAAAAATTTAAGGGGGTCTGAATACTTTCCGTACCCACTGTATGTCTAGGGAATGTACAGGGAATTTGTTTTTGCTTGGAGCAGTTTATTTATTTTATTTTATTATTGTTTTTTTTAAGCATCGGTACTCAGTATTGGCTGATTTTATTGTAAATGTTTACTGGTGCCACTCTGTTGTGAATCCATCCAGCCAACAGCCCACAGTGTTGTAATAAGCCACCATTGTCTATCCTCCAACACATTGTCTCACCTCAATCTCCCACCTCCATTTAGTGACAAAACCTGTATAACAAATAGTACTGACTCTAAAGGGACCAACTGTGCAGTTTCATTGGAACCTTTTATCTTACCTGCACATATTGGAGATACTGGTCCACGCTATTGCATCTGGGAATGCTGTAGCCTTTGTAGAAGTTGAAATCAGGGTTGAACATGTTCTCATTGAACCACACCTTTGCAAACGTGTTCAAGAGACGCTTGTCATAGTCATCAGTCACCCTACCGCCATACTGGATCTCGCCGATCATGTATCGTACAGTGTTCCAGGACACACCCTGTAAAAATACATATTCAATTATAATACTTATTCAAATTAAAATGCCAGGTGCTAAGTCTATTTGGCAACTTTTTGCATAAACCCTTGACAAAGTAAATCATATACTTTATACAATTTATGTAAAAGGTGGAAAAAGCAAACATGTTCATGTCATACTTCAATAATAAAGCAGAGAAAGGACATTGGACTAGATTCATAATGACTTCCAAGTCCTGTGTTGCTTTGTGTTCATGTGACAAGATTAAAGGTGTATAATTATAGAATATCTTTAAATCTCAGTACAGATTAAAGGGGTCATATGATGCAATTTCAAATGTTCCTTTCTCTTTGGAGTGTTACAAGCTGTTCATGAATAGATAAGATCCCTAAAGTTGCAAAGACTAAAGTCTCAAACCCAAAGAGACATTCTTTATAAAAGTTAAGACTTGTCTACACCCTCCTAAAACACCTCGTTTAAGCACGCCCCCACATGTCTACGTCACTGTGTGGGAAGATTTGCATAACACCGCCCAAATGTTCACGCAAAGAAAGAAGGCGTAACTTTTATTCTTGCTGTAGTATGGTTGTTGCCGCCGCCGCCGCCATGTCGTGGAGACGCTGTGTGTTTTGTTGTGAAAGCGAAACTGCTTTGTTTGGCCTTCCAAAAGAGGACGATATCCGCTTCGTCATGCCTAGAGCTGATCCGTGCTGGTCACTGAGGAAATACATCAACTTAGCGCTGTCAATCGCCGGATTGGCTTTCATCGTGGTCGAAGCGGAGTCCAGCCCGGGGTCGTCACATGTGGTTGCCGCAATCCCGCTGGCCGCTCCTTCGTCGAATCTGCCGGCCGCGCTTGTTGTTTGTCGTTTCTCCGATCACCAATGCAGACATGGTTTTATGTTTACGCTACGCGATACGCAACGCAACGCGTAAAAAGACAGTACAAGTCATTATAATCAGTAATTATGTCCCCACTGGATGCAAAAAATGCCTCGTTTGTAATGGGTTTTATTGGTTTTGTTTTGTCTCGTCGTGCCGAGACACGGCATCACAGTATGGTAAGGGGCGTAACATTTCCGTCACACGCTTGAGGTATTCAGCCAATCACAACGCACTGGATAGCTGGCCAATCAGAGCCCGCCTCGCTTTTCAGAACGTTGAGCTTTGTAAAAATCGACGCGTTTCAGAAAGGCGGGGCATAGAGGAGCAACAATAATGTACATTATGTGGAAAATAATGTGTTTTTTGAGCCTTAAACCGCATAAACACATTGCATTACACCAAATACACAACATAATGTTCTTTTTAGCAACATCATATGACCCCTTTAAACAAAAACTTTTTTTTGGAATGAGTTTATGATGTATTTGTTTGATTTCATTTTTATTCCATAATTGTGAAACCAGCAACACAGCTGCTCCATAATGCAACTCTCACCTTCTTGATATCTATATCATCCAGGTGATTCTGGACAAACTGTATTGTTGCATTGAAGTCTGCCTGGTTGAACTCATATGGAATGTTCCAACCTAAAGGTCCATATTTTCGCCTCTCTTGGACAGTGGAATGGAGGAATGCTACACCGTACAGCATGGGCCTCCACTGGACCATGTTACTCACATCCAGAAGATCCTGACTGATACCTGGAAGATATTATTAGGCATTACCAATTTCAAGACTTTCGTTATTATTAACACATTCCACACAAACCTTTTTTTATTCATGAAAAATAATCATCCAGCCCAGATTTCAATAGCTCCATTAATGTTTCTAATACATCAATAGCCTCAAGTGATGGTTGAATCTTTAATCTCAAACAGGCAGAGTACAAAAAAAATAAAAATCTGAAGATAGCCTGAGCTTGACATAGAGTCATGGAAACCTGACAGCTGAAGAAAGACTAAATATCCAGAGATGCCAGGCTCACCTCCATAAGTCCTCTTAAGTCCAGCTTTCAGTCCCTGAGGAGGCTCGTTTGTAAATTTGATTGACATCTGCAGGAGAGTGATAGGAAAGTGTCTGTGGACCTCAGTGGTCATCCACAGTCTGAAGGTGTCATGAACACTGTCCGTCTCTGTGATTGTATCCATGAGTTCGTCCATAAAATGCAGACCCAGATGACAGTTTTGAAGTAAAGCCCAGCCTCCCTAACAGAAAATAAATAAATCAATAAATACATAACAAACAAAACAAAACAAAGCACTTTTTGGGGGAATCAGCCTATGAATGACTTATTGTTGTCTCTGCATTTTAAGCTGGGAAAGAAGTACTTTCAACATCAAAAATGGTGGTACATACATTAGCCATGGAGTGCTGCAGAAGTTTGCGTGCATGAACTTCCTGCCCTTGTCCCATTGAGACGTAACGAGTTTCAATTCTCTGTCGTTTACCCAGGGCTATGATTGAGTCTGTTGGGTCTGAACCCATGGACAGGAAGCAAATGAGAGGAGTGCGAGGGTCCGACTCCTCCCAGGTCTTCTCCAGGTCCAGAATCACTCCCTCAGCATATCTCTCCCCCATTGAGTGCATGATGTACTTTCGTGCCTTTCAATTACACATTGGAAAACAATAATTAGCCTGAAGCAATTAAAAGTCATCACATGTATTTATGTAGTGCTTTATACAATACAGATTTGTTCAAAGCAGCTTTCCAGAAATAAACAGGGACCCACTTTATATTAAGTGACCTTAACAACTATGTACTTACATTTAAATTAATAATTTGGTACAATGCACTTATTGTGTTCATACATGTTTTTACATTGTACTTCTATATTAAAAATACCTGCATGTAATTACATCTGTAATTCATTTCTGTAATTACATTTATAATTACACAGTTGACCCATCCCTTACACCTTAACCCACCCTTAAACCTACCCATACCAACAAACCTGTCCCTAACCTTACCTGTATCCCACCTCAATAGCAGCAACAGTGTTTAGCAATACAATATGAACACAATAAGTACATTATACTTACTTTTTTGATTTAAGTACATAGTAGTTAAGGCCACTTAATATAAAGTGGGGCCATAAACAGAAAAAAAACAGTGTTGCAAAATTCAACCGTTATAAATAAACTTCAATTTTAGCTGTGAAGCCGCTCAGTGTTGATTCATTTCAGTTCAATGGCAGTGTTGATCTTACAAATTTCATCAATTACAAATAGCATTCATCTAAAAAGGGGCTCTAAGGAAAACAATAGTCATCATTCAGCTAAATTTAGTTCAAAGTTGATTCGGTTCAGTTCAGTAGCACTGCCATTGTTGCAGAGTTCATCAATTATGAAACTAGTTAAAAGGCAGCTCTACTGAAGACAATATTATCCAACTCAATTCACTTAAAGTTTTGCTGTCATCTGATAGTGTCAGTGCAGACAAATCGATAGTGATAATTGTCTAACTGAGACGAAACTCTATCAGGTGATAGCAGTAGAGAAAAGACCTTGGAAGAAACCAGGCTCAGACTGATACCATATATATATATATATATATATATTTGCTAGTAGATATATATATATATATATATAAACAGTAACAAGAAAATAGTGAACAGTGCTTAACTATCATACAAATATATTGTTCCACTGGCTTCATTATGATTTCATTCATACCTGAGCAATGGTTCTATCTGGACACCAGGATCGAATAAGGAGCATTCGTCTGAAACAGTCCAAAGCCTGGTCATATGCATTTGGGATTGGTTCTTCCTCTGGTGCTTCTCGATCAAACCAGCTCTTCCACTGTTTCTCATGACGCACAATCTGTAAATACACATGAACACATGTACACAAAAGTGAATGATTCTGGTACTTATTTGGACAGATGACATGAAATCGTTTTGAGAAGTCATCATGTTCTGTGGGGTGCTATTCAACTTCAAAAAAATAATAATCATAATTTAAACGGCATTTTTGATTTTTGACTTTGTAGATTTATATATTTATACTGACACATATATTATGTTTAAAGGGATAGTTGAACCAAAAATGCTAATTCTGCTATCTTTGACTTCTGTACGACTTTCTGCAGATATAGATATTTTGAAGATGTTGGTAACCTCTCAGTTTTGGTTACCATTGACTTCCATTGTTTGGACAAAAAGCACTTATCTCATTTCTCAAAATATATTATTTAATGTCCTATAGAAGACAAAAGTCATGTTTGGGACAACATGATGGTGAGTAAATGATGACAGAATTTTCAATTTTGGGTGAACTATCCCTTTAATATATTATATAGCATCTACAATGAAATGGTTTGAACTTTCAACAATTCAATAAACATAAAATACATAAAATAAAAATATTCTAAATGTTTTGTCTAATCAAAACGTATTCAAAGACTAAACATAATGAGACTTGGATAGCATGGATTTCTGGTATGTCATGACATATATTGTATAATGCAATCTTGTGTGCAGATTAACAGTATTTCTGTAGTTGTAGTGTTCCAGAAATGGTTAATTAAACAAGGCTTTTAATCTGATTTCTTTCAGCCAAAAGTAATTGATTTAGAGTTTGCCAAAGTGAGCTCATTTCACACTGCATTGAGCATGAAGTTCCCCCAGGCAGTCATGGCCAGTGTCAGCCGTCAGTGTGAGTGGCTGTGAATGTATTTGTGCCTCTATGTGTGTGTGTGTGTGTGTGTGTGTGTGTGTGTGTGTGTGTGTGTAGACAAGATGAATCAAATATTGACATGTTTACTGCAAAGCGGGAGCAGTGAGAAAGATTTAATAAGGAAGGGGAGCTCAAAGCGACAGATATTCTGTGTGTGTGTGTGTGTCTTTCATGTGTGGATGTGTCTGATCCTTTTAGAGACCATGTATGTATAAGTATCTGACTGCACACCTGATCTAGAATGTCAGAGAACTGCCACAGCTTGCTCAGCTCCACCAGGTTGAGCCATGTTATGTCCAGGATCCACTTTGCAGCTTTGGGTGGACAGGCCTTCAGGTCTAGCGAAGCACCTCCTGGGCAACATCAAGAAAACAGACCTGCATTGTTCTTATTATGATTATTTATTTATTTGTTGAAGCTCTTATTGAATGTTGATGACTATGTTCAGAATGTAATAATAGCTTGCTTAATATACTATATCATTATTTTTTTTAAAGTACATGAAACAGTAAGGTAGTATACATTAATAATATTAAAAGTGCACATGCTAATTAGTTCCATTTGTAAGAATTAACAACTTAGAAATTCGGTAAAGGGATGAAATTCCTATTAATATGACCATCTTTCTCCTGAGGTGGCAACTGAATTTGTAAGACTATAATTATAATTTGATTCACAGCTTAATGAATGTTAAATCACAGAACTAATGTCGTAATTTTTTTAAACCTGTTTGAAATAAAATGGGGTAGAGTTGGGGGTATCAGATAAATGTGCGAAAATTTAAACAAAGGTTGAGACTAATGGTGTTAAAAAAACTTACAGGTGTTAAAACAAAAAGTGTTATAACCATCCCCAGTCTCCCATACTGATATCTGTGGAAGTTATACTCCTGTATTTACCTCTTGTATATTGTTGTTTGTTGTTATACTGGTTATTTTATATTTTATAGTTTTGCGTTTAGTCTTGCCTTGTTTTGAGTTTAGAAAATTGAAATATTGACTTTATCCTATTTTTGAATTGATAAAATACCTTTTTTTCTTATAATATTCTTGCCTAAACAAAGAGGTTCTTCTCTGCTCTTGGACACTAATTGCAATGGTACATACAGTGTATGTAGGAACCTCTTATTGCAAATATAATATCTCGCTATGATCTCAAGAAAAGCTCCCGTCTTATCGGAACAGAATGAGACAAATTACAGTGCAGTGAAGAGGGAGAAAGTGGCTCTCACAAGAGTGCATTAAAGAGCAGAATGGTATTAACTGGCTTGACATGCACTGCCAGCACAGGGAATCAAATAGACCTTCGAGGTAATGGGCCACTTCTCTGACCACAAGGCTACCTGATCTTTCAGTGATTAAATTTAAGATCTGAAGCTTTTACGAAAGCAAAACCACATGAACCAGCATGATAATCACATAGCAGTTCATAAATCTGCACTCACCAAGGACTCCCCGTGAACAACATGTTCAGATCACAAATTGCAAAGAGCCATTACATATGATTTTGGAAAGCATGTTACCCAGAAAAAAAGGTATTCACAAAAGCTTCTAATGGCAAAACCACACACTGTTCTCTCCTTATTCTCTTTATTGTGCTTTTGGCTTGAAACCTCAATATACCAAAGACCAGGGGTTTTTTTATTTTTTTTTATAAATCATTTAGAAATTACCATCTCTTGTCACTGTCTGTATGTATGAATTTGTTGTTGATTGATAATATTAATTTACGTGCTAATGAGTACGTTAACAAAGAAATTCTGGGCCCAATACAAGTTAAGCTATATCAACAACATCTGTGGCATACTATTGATTACCACAGAATAACTTCTATTCATTTCTCAGAAAAACATGCAAGTTTTTCCATAGCAAAAGCAGTTTGTTAAACAATTTATAGAGAATTATTTTGTACAAAAATGTGCTATTTGTGTGGATAAGTTCTCTAAATAGTCCTGGAGTGATCGAAATACGATATTAAGATAATTAATTTTTGGTCTATTTAAACACTGCAGACATTTTTGTCTACTGCATATCCATTTATATTATCCTTTCATGTATCATGTGAATGTTGCTATGTTTGCCAGATTTACATGGTCACAACAGGAGCTAAAAATTTTATATAACATTTCATAGTATGTGATTCCCACTCCAGTCTCATGTTAATATGGTATGTTTAAGTCTTGTGGCTATACTTTTGAAATATATCACATACTGTAGTGAACCCACTGGTCTATAATAGATCAGTGATTAAACCTAGAACATTCTTTCCAAAAATGTGGCTATATTTATGTCTCAATTCATGCAAGTATGCACCACACAATGTACTGCATTAGCCTTGTAAATCGTAATATGTACTGGCATGTCATGATAAAAAGTTTTAAAAGTTTTGAATTGCCTTTTCAGATTGTGCCAGCAGGTGCACACATTTCTGAAGGATAAATTTCACTGCATACCATAATATCAGACTGACAGTGTGACATTACAACTTGTAAAAATAAAAGATTCTGTTTACCACATAGTCTGCTTAATTTTTAAAAATGTTTGCGCAATCATTAAATTAATTAGGTTATAATAAGCATATGGACCTAAAACGAAGCCTATACAGCACTTTTTACTTCTTTGATTTGACCCCTATATAGTGTTTCATGATTTACTGGAAAAGTCAGTGTATACAAAAAGTGTTGCTCACAAAAAAAAAAAAATAAAATAAAATATATATATATATATATATATATATATAGTCTGGGAAGTTTTGATACTGATTAGCATATACAGTACAAATGCAATAGTTTCTGTTTTTCACCTCTGAATGTGGTTAACCAGTCCGATCACAAAATATCTTGGACCATATGTACACTTGTATTTAGCTCTGTGCACTTGTGATTGGATCATCTGAGATGTATGAAGGATTCTATATACGTGAAGTTTTACAGCTTGTGGTAATTCCAATAATTGTCACATCATAAGACTAACAAACTAGAGGAAGAGATGAAGCAAATTTCTCGATGTATCGTTGAAAAACAAAACAATTTAATCACTAAAAGACAGACGAGCTCTAAGCTCCCACCGGGTCTGTATTCCTCGCGGGCCGCATTGATCTGGATCTCAGTCTCTGCAGCAATCTGGAGTTTCTGTGTGACCTCCTCTGCAGTGCGTTTCGTGTTTCCCAGCACTGTGATGAGGCTCTCGTCATCCACCAGGGAGCCCTGCGTGCTAGTTAGCCTAAAAAGTAAATTATCCTCCAGTTCCTTCATTTTACGTTTATTGGCTGTGACATCCTCCAGCAGGTCAGTCCGCTCCTTCTCCAGTTCCTGACAATCCAGAAACATCACACAGTCATTTCTCACCACACACACTTTATAATTTGGCTATTACTTGTCATACACATTATTGTGATTAATGATTTATTTGCATGTTTTGTTTATGTCACTTGCAGTGTAAGCTTAGCACACAAACGTATTAAAAAGTCATTTCATGCCACTGCTCAGGGACAAAATGACATGAACAAAATTATAATAAAATAATATTAACTTGTCTAAAATGTTCTTTTGGGGCTATACAGCCCTGATCCACTTTTCATTCATGTTGATGTTTTTGGAAGCCAAACAAACCCAAAAATCATATTGTAGTAATACACTTACTATCATATTGTATATAGTTATATCTATTGTTGTTTTCATTATTCTAAAATATTCAAATGTGATTATGCAGTAGTAATACATTATTATTATTATTCCCACATTTTTATTTTCGATATATTTTAAGGCGGTCCAAATAAATCCATGAACCTTAATATATAAATCAGTGTATAAAATAGATTTTTTTTTTCTGATGACAATAAAAACATTTACATAATTAAGATTTTTTTCTTCAGACAGCACAAATTTATTAACACTTAAATACATTATTTGAAAGAAGAAGAAGTGACGTGTGGCGTCAGTAGTGAACACACACATATCATGAACACACACCCAGAGCAGTGGGCAGCCATATTGCTGCGGCACCCAGGAAGCAGGTGGGGGTTTGGTGTCTTGCTCAAGGGTCTCACCTCAGTCGTGGTATTGAGAGTGGAAGAAAGCGCTGTACATTCACTCCCCCCACCCACAATTCCTGCCGGACCTGAGACTCGAACCCTCAACCTTCGGGTTACAAGTCCAACTCTCTAACCATTAGGCCACGACTGCCCCCATGCCACTGATAGAATGTTTATAGAATGTTTAAAACATTTTAAAGGGGTCATATGATGCAATTTCAAATGTTCCTTTCTCTTTGGAGTGTTACAAGCTCTTGGTGCATAAAGAAGATCTGTAAAGTTGCAAACACCAAAGTCTCAAAACCAAAGAGATATTCTTTATAAAAGTTAAGAGTTAACCACGCCAA